TCTAGGTCCCGTGCTGCGTAGAGGAAGGAGGTTTCTGAGTCACGGGGGTCCTCTTACCCGGATTCGGAGTAAAGCCTCCGCCGCCGCCGCCACCGCCGCTACTGCCGGCGCACTTAGACTTGCTACAGTCGAAGGGTTTAGCAGCATCGGAGGAACACTCCTTAACAGACCTCTGATCACTCTTACCCGGAATACAATTCTCCTCCCCATCTGCCACCGTCGCTCCACCAAATCTGCCGCACTGCGCCGCCTCCTTGGTGAAATAATTGTACGAGTAAGTAAAGTTCTCCAGCCGCGGCAGCTGGCACACGGCGGCGGTCACCTCCCCAGTAAGTCGGTTGTGCGCTACATTCAGCTGCTCCAAGCTCCTCATACTGCCAATCGCCGCCGGCAGCGGCCCCTGCAAATTATTGAAGCTCACATCAAACACCGTCAGCTCCCTCAACAACCCAATCTCCGGCGGCAAACACCCCGTCAAATTGTCGTTCATCAGAATCAACTCGTTCAGCGTCTTCCCCATCTTCCCAATGCTCCCTGGGATACAACCTCCGAGATTGTTGTTCGCCAGAACCAGAACCGACACCGGCGAATTACCCAAATTCTCCGGTATGCCGAACTGGAACCTGTTGTCGTTGAGAAAAATGGCGTCCAAATCCTTATCAAACACCTGCGACGGAACGCCTCCTTCGAACTCGTTAAACCGGAGATCCAAAAATTTCAGAGAAGGTAGAGAGAGCACCACCGTCGGAAACCCGCCGACGAACCGATTGTTGCTCAAATCGAGCTCGAAAAGGAGCTTCAATTTTTTGAAACTGCGGGGGACGATTCCGCAGAACCGGTTCGAGTTGATGTGGAAGAGTGCCAGATCTGTAAGCAAGCCGAGCTCCTCGGGGAGAAAGCCGGCGATATCGGCGTGGTTGAGGTCAATGCCGGCGACCACCTTAACGGAGGGGTTAGTAGTAGCCGGAGCACAGAACACTCCGCCGTAGGAGCAAACGTCTGAACCGGTCCAGTCCGAAGTGAAGTTGAACGGATCGGAGAAAATCGATTGCTTCCATGCTTGCAACGCAATGTAGGCCTGACGGAGGTTAGGGTTTTCGAAAGATAGCTTACTAATATCCGGTTCTGCTCCGGCGGCGGCGACAATGGTGATGTGTGAGGTGAAGAGGAAGGAGAGGACGAGGAAGGAGAATGTAGGGGCGAAGCGCCGCCGTGAGGGCGGCGGCATTGGCCGTGGGATGGTGGTGGGAGAAGTCATGAGAGGAGGAGGAAATGAAATGAGGAGAGGGAATGGTGAATTGAACACATTAAAAGGGGGCACATGGAGGAGTGGTTCCAGCTGCCAAATATAATGTATAACGTGTACTCTCTTCTTTCTACTTGCTGTATTTTATTTTACTATACAATATAATTTAATATAATATAATGTATTTTATTATACAACATACACTAATCTGTGTGTTCGTATATCTTCATGTGTAAATGAATATAGGTTAAATTACGGAATCCTCTGCCTCAACTATGAATCTTCTTATACATTCACGTGTCAAACTTAGTAGAACATTCTAGATTATATGGAATATTCTTCAATTTGTACCCGTTTTACCTCGTTCGAGCTCCACATTTTGTAACAAGATGATCATAAGATGTGTCTCTTGACTTCTAAATATCAAATCGTGGTGCATCAAAAACTACATATTTGCACAAAACGAGTACAAACTAGAGAACAATGCACATAATCTAGAAGATCATTATATTGAATTTGACACCAAAATGGTGGTTTGTGTAACGAGATTCATAATTGTGGAGTGGTTATAGTTACCCACATATAAGAGGGTGTTTCGTAATCTGACATTAACACAGAGATGTTCGTAATTTACCTTATAAACATATAGTAGAGATTTATCCGATGTATTTCATCTGATGCACCATAGTATGTGCAAATTGGATTTCGCCAATGTCTTATTCAAATGGGAAGAGAAACAAAGGTTTGGCACCGTTCTTTGATATTTACTTACATGTAAAATTATGAATCATATGTTCAGTAACCGGTAAATTGGAAAAATACTTCCAATTTATTACATATAATTTTTAGCACAATAAAACAAAAGATTGTATGTGATGTTGAAAAAATAATTTGCAAAAAAAATAAAATTCAAGAGAATCATTCAGAACACGGGAGCATGTTGTCATAACATTATTTGTTTTTGGAGGGACAGGTGAAAAAATAAAGGAGTAGCTCGTTGGCCATATTAATGGAGACCAGCTATATATATATATATATATATATATATATATATATATATATATATATATATCCAAAAGGCAAAATGCCACACTTTCATGTTAAGACTGCAGAACATGAAAAATACTAATAAAAATATTAATTAGTAGTTTGTTTAAGAAAAGTGAGCAGTTATAAATATTTATAATGGTTGGTGAATTAGTGAATGAACAATAGCACTTTGATCTTCTAAGTTGGAGCTTGTGTCGATCGATCCAAGTTCAAATTTTTTTGTCAACATTGGTAGTCTGTTATAGTCTACAAGTTATTATACGAGAGCGTAGGTTTACACGTTAGATTTATATACTTGATTGTAGATTTTTTTGTTAAAAATAATGCACTAATCAATATTAGTTAGTAGTAATTAGAGAAAAATAAGAGAGAGAGAGAGAGAGAGAGAGAGAGAGAGAGAGAGAGAGAGAGAGAGAGAGAGAAGAGAGAGAGAGAGAGAGACTTTTTGCTGTTTGTCTGTATGCATGAGATATTGGTTTGACAGATCAGAAAAGGGACCTACATTTACACTATTTCACGTTCTTTCTTACACAAACTATCTAAAATTCAAACCGCGTTTTGGTCAATTATGAATTTTAGTTTTTGTATTAAAGACCTTTTATTCCCTCCTTTTCTTTTGGGAATATCTCTATTATTTTTTCTTTTTTTTCTTTTCGGAATATGAATTATCGAATTAAAGAAGAATATGCTTAGCTTAATTGATAAGGAAGGCAAAAAAAATATAAATATATCATTTTCATTGGATATAATAAATTTTGCATCTATTCTATAAAGCAATGAGATTTAACTATCGTTTATATGCTGGTCTATGAGATACTACATTTGACATAATACACCGATTGATCTTAAATTACATATTTATATAAATACTTATTTACTAAACAAATATACATATGCGTCTGTGTGTTACTATATGTAGATCAAATATTCGAGATCAGCCGATATATTCACCGCATGTAGCATCTACGAAATCGAAAGGTGTAGGAATATGCAAAATTTGTGGACATGCAAAGAAAATAAAATAGTAATAATATACATATGTGATTCACAAAATATATTAAAATAATCACCGCTCTCTCTCTCTCTCTTTTGGATACAGGCTGTTCAGCCAATCAAAAGATTTCGTTCAATGATTGCTCTTTCTATTTGTTTAAAACATTTTTCCGCAATGGTTTCCCAAATAACTTTTTTTTTTTCTTAAGTTTCATTTATTTGAAGGCAATATCCCAAATTTTTTATTTAAAAAAAAAACAAAAACAAAATAATAACGGCCCAGCCCAGGTTTCAATATATTTGGGCTTTGACAAAACCCAACAATACAAATTGACATTTCTGTATCTATTTCAACAAGTTTACATGGCCCAATAGTATTATGCTATTAAAATAATTTGGGCAAATAGGTCCCTCAGTTATGGTCAACGAAACCCCCGTCTATTTGGGTAATTATTGTCACCCATCACCTATGTATTATCTTACGAAAATACCTCTCCAGAGATAAATTTTGGGGTGTTAAATCAGTAAAATCAAACCAAAATTTCAGTACGCCAACATTTCATACCGTTTACCGAACTGAATATACGATTTGTTTCGTTAAATAACCGAATTACATAAATTTTATGTAAAAATATTTAAAAGGAGACGTGACTATAATTACTCAAACAATAGGGATTTTTTTTCGTAATTTGGTCATACCTCAGGGTGAGCGTAATTTGCCCAGAAATTATTATGTTTTATGACTTGAAACCCATTTAGGCATATATAAACACAATAATGTGAAAATAAAATTAAATAAATTGCTTATATACGATGATATATCACCCTTGAACGATTTCAAAACTGAAAGGCCTGAACACGTGAGGCTCACGTGCCTCAACGAAATCCAGTTGCTTCTTCATAAGATGCATGTACACGATCCAATCCCCATTCCCACACGCGCTCGGCATTGGCATCACGTAACCCGTTTCGCCTCCCCACGGGAAATGGTACGACCCGAATTCCGGCCCGCCCCACCCGAAATCCATTTCTCCGACCCGAAACCTCTGACCCGACGACACAACAACCGCCGCCTCATTGTTTTCATCTCTACAGTACACCTTCACCACCGCCGGATTCGGCCGCCGCAACTCCACCCAGTCAATCAGCGCCAGGAAGTGCTCCGCCGTGGATGCCGCCGCCACGAATTCGTGCACAACATCCACCAACTCATTGAGCGACGCCGTTTTGAGCTCGCCGACACTCGATTCGACGTACGGAATCGAGAGGACGTTGCCGAAATAGCGCTCCAGCGACGCCGTTTCGCCGCTCAGCCTCGCTCTTCCGTCGACCACTATCCCTAATTTTACCACCTTGGAGCGTTCGCCGCCGCCGACGGCGGCGGCGGCTATGGCTTTCCAGAGAAATGCGCTGAAGGATTCGATTTTGCTTCTTCTGTTGCCGTTGTGGCTGGATTGCGACTGGAGCCGATCGATTTCGTTGGATTTAATGTAGTAGATTCGGCTCGTCAGCTGATCGGTATCGTCGGCGGACGGCGGCGGTGGCATGGACAACAGCGGCGCGTAGATTTTTTCTAGTGATTTATGCTGTTGTGGAGGGCGGCGGGGGTTGAAGATCGAGCGGCGGAATGAGGGGAGAAGCGTGATTGGTTTTGACCGGGCAATCTCCGCCCAAGCAGTGAGGAACATGTTGGCGGAGTGGGCGTCCGCCGCACGGTGGTCGAAAGTGCATCCGACGAATAGTCCGCCGCATTTCAGCTCCGTCACCTGCGCTTTTTCAGTTGTTTGGCATACAGAATAATTAATTAATAAATAATTTTATCCCATAACTTTGTCATCGTAATTAAAATATTCTGTTATTATCGTTTTATCTTAAGGTTTAAGATATTACGGCAAATTACGATCTTGAGATAAGTTTAAATTACGGAAAAACTCTCGTTTGTTTGAATAATCACAACCACGGCAAAAAAACCCTTCTTCAATAGATACATTTTAGACACTGTAAAACCAACATTCTGTCCAAAATCAATGACAATGTTAAACAGTACCAACCCCATTGGTGGTATCAGAAATACCAACATTCAGTCTAAAATCATCACTCAAAGTACCAATTGTTCATCGTCAATGCGCGAGTCCCCATTCGCGCACGCCTTGATTCGCGCAAACAAAACAAAGTAGGGTGAGCGTGTGCACAACACGCGCGCATGGACGCAGCACATTATGTCAATCGTGCGACTCGGTTCGCGCGCCCGAAAATATAAAAAAAAAAGAAAAAAGATAGCTAGGGTGAGCGCGTGCACAGCACGCGCGCGTGGGCTCCGCGCATTCTGCCAATTGCGTGCCTTGATTCGCGCACGCGAAAGTATAAAAAAAATGGAGAGAGACAGAAGAGCGCGTGACGCACAAGTGGCGGCCACGGGCCTGACATTAGCGTGCCTTCCAAGCCCTATCAGTGTCAGCACTGTATTCAATCGCGCGCGATTTAGTGAAGTGCGAGGAATCCGCGCGCGATTTGGTGGAGCGCGTAGAAATAACGGTAACGGTTGAATTAAAGGTTGAAACTGGGATTTTCTTTGAAAAAATTGCAATAAGACCCCTATACTATTTTAAAATTTTCTAAAAACCCCTAAAATTTAATTCAACCCTAATTTATCCCATAAAAGATAATGTTTTCAAAATTTACCTGAACAGAGAGCACACCATGCATTTTAACAGGAACAAGTTTCCCATGAACAGATAAATCCGGCCGGTAAAGGTCGACGTCTTTCAGCTCCACATCAGCATACGCGTAACTAAAATCCACCCCGCGGTTGTTGCTGAGAATCTCCGGCTCGCCGTGGCGGTTATGCACGATTTCTCCGGCCAACGGGAAGAAGGAAACTAGCGCCTGAGACAGTGCCTTCTTAAGCACCGCCGCCATGCTTTCCGGCGAGATCAGATCTCCGTCTTCTTGATTTTCTCCGCTCCTTTTCTTGTAGCAGAAGAATATTCCAAAGTCCAGCGGCGGGAGGAGCAAGTCCAGGTTGGACATCGGCAGCCAGTGCTCCTGCAGCGGCAGCACGGCGGCTACCACCTCACTCCATTTTACAGTCACCGGAAAACCACCGGAATCCATATATATATATATATATATATTTGGTTAATGGTTGAGTACGTTACGTTAATGAATCACTATGCATGCGCATATATGCAAAAAGGTTGAAGTGTATATGTATATATAATACTAGTAACCTATATATATAATGATTAATGATGCGTGTTAGCGCGTGTAAATTTGATTAATTAGGTTGATAAATTCTTGCTACAACTTGCAAGCTGGTGTGAATTTATAGACGAAATAATGGGTAACTTTTATATCTGTTTATAAGAAAGTGGGTGAGTAATTTTATCTATAAATTGTACCAATTACAACAATTAATTGTTCCAAGGATTGGGTTCATAAATTTCTTCACCCAATTATTTTATTTTATTTTTATTTTCTTACAGTGACTAACGAAATGAAGTCAAGCCAACCAGGTAAAAAAGTATTCGTTGGTGTGTAAATTTACAATTTTCATCTCTCAAGTTTGCAACGATTTCATATTTAATACTTCATATTAAAAGATAAACACATTTGGTCTCTCGTGTTTCAAAAACCCAACGTTTTTAGTCATTTCTGTTAATTATCCGTTAAAACTAACGGAATCAAACAGTGTGCCCATGACTAACTTAACTGACGGACTATAGATAAACTAAAGAAAATGTCCAAAAATATTAAATCATTGATACATAAAGGACCAATTTTTTTTTTTTTTTTATATATAAATATGAACGACCAAATATGAAATCGTTGCAAACTTGAAAGATGAACACTGTAGTATGTAAATTTTCCTCCCACTTGAATAACTCAAAAATGGTTTTATTATTATGATATCGTAACTTTAAATCCATACATCCCATAGAAATAGAAGATAGATTTTGTCTTACATTAGGATATATGTATATACTTACTTTTTGATAGTTATGATTTATGAAGGGTATGCTTAAAAATGTATATGATTCCGATATAACTTTAAAAATAAATGTAAAGCGAATTATCAACATTTTAATTTCGAAAACGACCCAAAACCTAATTGAAATGAACTATAAGCTTAACACAATAAATGGTACGCCTTCCGTCCCTTATCATATGTCGTTTTGGGTGGTTGTGCGTATATTGAGATATTCAATAAATATCCATACATTAATAACAAAAAAGTATAATGAATACTAAAATACCCTTGTTATTAATTATTTTTTAATTAACTAATTAAGACTTAAGAGTGATAAGGGGGTAAAATTGGTACAATTAATTAAGAAAAACATATCATTTTTTCATGACTAATAATTCCTATCTTTTACTTGTATTCTGTATAACTTAAATCTTAATCCACTTTGTGTGTGTGTGCGTGTGTTTCTCCAAATTAAACAACTATATTCTTATTAGGATAAATTACACCTACGCCCCTGAGGTATGCTGAAATAATTTTAAGGTCCGTATAGTATCGGTAATTACAATGACCCCCCGAAACATTATTAAAAACTCTAACAAAATAATGCATTAGATAAGTTATTTCATTAGGGTTGAAACGGAGTATTAGTTTTAGGAAGTAGTGGAGATAACATAAAGCCAGGGGATGACATTTGGCTACAATAATTGTTTCAGGGGTGTGGCTGTAATTACCAATAACACAAGGACCTTAAAGTTATTTTAGCATACCTTAGGGGTAGAGGTATAATTTACCCTTTTTATTATGGCCCAGAAAATGACATTACCGAAGTACTAGGTAGTAATCTGAAGCTCCATTGTTTTCATTACAAGAACATATAGAAGACTTCTCGTGTTCATTTTCTTGATCAACTAAAAATTAAAAAAAGTACAATCTAAATTAAATATCCAAGTAAGCCAAATACTTTAATTTAATCAGCCCACCACAGAAAATCGGAAAATTTAAATGTCGTCCCCTAACGATCTTTGAGTTCCTCCTCAAACTGAAGCAGTTTCTCGCGAAGAGGCTGCAAAAATAATTTCAAATCCTTGATAATCCGTACCTTATCCTGTTGTGGAACATCCTTCTCTTCGCTAAGCTTCACTTCAATCTACAAATCGTTCGTATATATAAATAAATAAATAAATAAATAAAATCCAATACGAAGAAAACATGCAACACCTGTATATGCGATTTGTTTATATACCTGCAAGTCGTCGAGCTCACCAAAGGAGAATTCCGGTACATCTATGTGGCATTTCATCTTCTTATTCTCCCCTCCAATTTGCCATTCACCTAATTTTTATATCGAGGTAAATATGCAAGAGATAAATATGGAAGGTAATCAAGAAGAAATAACGAGATTAATTAGACAAGTGTTACCTTTCACTTTTAAGGCTAACTCGTAGGTATAGCCGACCCGTTTCTTGTTTCGAACAGTAACCAAGAAAGCCTGCAATTACATTGCTTCGTCCATTAGAAATTTCTTCGGAAGGTGATCGAGGATATACAATTTTAAAGTCGGATCTTGTTTATTTCAAGAAACTACGCGCAATCTATATTTATTGTGGTATGCACGACTTTTCCTGTCTAATTTCTCATTTTCGGTTATTTGAGAAAATTCAAATGCAACCATGCAACAATATTTGATTTTCTTTTGGTGTACAGTAAATAACGACGCCGATTTTATTTATTTTTTATCCTAGTATACGTAGAACTATAACAGTGATTCGCCTCCTGAACCAGAATAATGTAGAATTCTTGGCTCAAACAGTTAGTCTAATAGTGCGACAAGGGGCAAATTTAATTACGGTAAAACCAAAGATCACAAACAAACATTAAGTCAGCATTGGAATTTGCATGAATATTTTCGTTGAATTTGAATAAAACTACTCTACATAATAAGCTCAAAAGACGAGAGATATTGCGTCCAACTATTAAACGGGCACTTACATCTCCAGAGCATCTCGTGACTTCTGCAATTTCTGCTTTACCACCAGAGAAATCCACCGACCCCATAGTCACAAGCAACTCCTATAAACGAAAGAAAACACATAAAATTGAAGGACAAAAAATACCAGTACAGATAATATATCGACAAAAACAAAAGAAATTCGTTGTCGTGTGTATAGGAGCAAACCTTAATCCTATCAGTAGCCCATTTATTTAAATTTTTCTCCTCCCACGTTCCAGCCTGCAAAGTGTAAATTAAGATTAGCAAAAAATATAGAGTACAAAATAAACAAAGTAAAAATATAATCAATATATAAATGATTACGATTATGGAACGTAAATTAAACAGCTAGTACAACCGCCGAGTCAACCAATTTTAATAAGTAATCAAAGAAGCATCAAAAGCAAAAGCTGTTAGAGCATTCTAGTTGCTTGGCATGACACAACATAATACAACCGAGTCAACCGATTTTTTTATAGGAGCTAAAACCTGGACCAACAATCAAAATCAACGAGATCGTTCATGTAAGAAAAAACATAACCTTAAAATGGCAAATTTGGAGCACGTGCTTCAATTTTTCATATACAATTTTAATTTTTCTTATTTTTTTCCGATTTCCCTTCGATTAAAATTGAAGGGTTGGAGTGGCACTAGCGTAAAATTCCAAGTGATGCATCACTCCTAAGCTTATTTGACATTTTGCTTATCTTATCTCCCTATAATATTCCTAAATGCCCACAAACAACTGTTAGTACTAAATACGGAAACGAAATATTCCCGACAATTGTTACACGCAAAACAGAAACGAAAACTAAATGCAGGAAACGAAGA